CCAGCTCGTAACCACTATGCCACCAGGACTCCCGGAATAGGACAGAGTGGCAGGGATTAAACGGGGGTTGTGAGTAGTCCCCACCATTGTTTCACTTAGGGAAGGGCGCTAGAGCTGCCTGTCTGGGTTTGCCTCTTGGGTCTACCACATACTACCTCTATGACCTTGGGGAAGTCACCTACCTGCGCTTTAGCTTCCTCCTTTAGTACGCGGGGGATGATCATTAAATCTACCTCATGGGGCTTGTGATGAGGATAAGATGAGCTAATTTGCTGAGAGCACCGTGCTCAACTCGTGTGGAGCCTTACTTTCAGTTTCTGGGGGTATTGTCTGCAAATGTTCCCTTAAGAACAGAGGGGCAAAGCCAGGGCCACAAGGCCAGTGCTCACAGCCCTTCTAGCCAGGGATCCTTACATGACAGACGTGGGTTCTGGACCGCAGACGCCTGCGGCCACCATCTCACTTCGGAAGCCATCCTCTGCCGTGCTGACGGACAGTAGCGCGGTGGGGCCTTGGTGGAGGCTGTGGGCTGAGCTGTTGGGTAGGTTAGCTATAGCTGGAATGTCCGTTAACACGTGTCCAGAGGGCCAAGCTAGGGGAACAAAGGAGTGGCGCACTGCACATGCCCAGAGGCTTAGGGTTCTTGCGGGTAGGCAGGGGTGAGCATGAACCTGAATTAGCCCACCTAGGCCAGGTGAATTCAATTCAGTCAATGGGGTCGATCAGGGGACTTCCACCACGCCTCTCCATGGAATCCTTGAAAAGGCAGAAGCCCGGAGTCGGGAGCGAGAACTTCCCAGAACTTCCCAGAATGCTGGGAACTTTGGCAGAGCTCTGGGAGAGCTTGGAGGGACCTTGGGACGCTTTTGCAGGACACCGAGCTGCTTCCAGCCAGGCCGCATGCTGGGGAGGAGTCTCTCAGGTGCCCTGTAAACCTGGAACTTCTTCTACCTCTCATAAAACTCACTTGGATCAGGAACCAGGCTTCAGTATGAATTCTTTCTCATGCGGAGCCAAGGACAGAGGTATAGATCTAGCTCCAGAGAGATCTAACAGAGCCACCTGTTTCCTTGAGGGCGTTGCTAGGGCCCCACTTTAGTGCTGGGTGTGACCCAGTCCACAATCTTGGTTTTCCTTGGATTGACCACGGTGCTTCCGACCGTTTTAATACAACTCTCCACGCTGGGAAAACCAGATCTCTCTTTTTGCCCACTGAGCTTCGGCAGAAGCCACAGACCGGCTGTGAACAAATGCATCTGTTTTTTTCCATAAGATAAAGAAAACTTCACATATCAGTGCGACTGAGGAAGGTCAGGCTGTAACCAAGGTCAGTGGTGGAAGCCACCAGAAAGAGATGGGGAGGGTTTCTACTGCTGTAGAGTGACAGCCTCAGAGTCCCACAGGGGCCCCTCTACCCTGTCCTATCAGGTCACTCTTAAAGGGTCCATCAGGAACACTATGGTTCTCAGCCACGGCCAGTGTCTCTTAATCCCTTCTCCATCCCCACCAGGCTTAACGTGACCCCTCACCTTCTCAAGAGGTCTCATAGAAACCGGGGTCCCCCCTCTCTTCACAGTTCTGCTGGTCCCACAGCCAACCT